GGTGGGCAACCTGCGACTCACAGGCCGCACTCAGCCCATCAGGGTAATCCTCTGGTGGGCCGCGAGACAGTTTGTTTTCATTGCCGTCCGCAGGCACGGCTGCCTGCAGCTCCCAGTGGCCGTGGTTCGCGGTTCCCGGCCAATGGGAGCTGCGGGAAGCAGCGCGGGCCTCAGGGACATGCTGGCTGCTGCTTCCTGCAGTTCCCATTGGCCGGGAATGGCAACCTGGGGCCACTGGGAGCTGTAGGCAGCCGTGCCTGCATGTGGCAATGTAAACAAGCTGTCTCATGACCCGCCAGTGGATTACCCTGACGGGCCGCAGGTTGCCCACCACTGAGCTATGCTGTACTTTCTGAAAGAAACACAAACCACTATATCTTGTCATCTGTTGTCATACACATCTATATTTCTTGCAGTGTGTCAAATGGTTAAGTATATTCTGGTTTGCACATGCTGTTAATGATTAACAGCTGTCTGCTAGAGTAACTGGTTTTTTCCTTCATTTCTAAAGTCATTAGCCATCTTTAGAGGAGAAAGAAGAACAGCATTGCACTGGATTCAGTAGGGACTTGTAAATACTGCATTGATGATACAGAGGATGACAAAGCATTTGGAATCTGTGCCACAGCTTTTAGCTGGTCTGTTTGCTATTAGGTTTCAAAATGTGTATGGATAGAGGTGCATGACAGAAAGGATGGGCTTGGGGTTAAGGTACTGGATTGGCCTGAGACTCAGAAGATCTGCATTAATGTCCTGGCTTCGCCACAGACTCTCTATATATGACCTTGGGCAAATCACTTAATGTCCTTGTGTCTCAGTCCTCTACCTATTAGATGGGGATAATACTTCCTTCTCCCACCTTTTGTCTGTTTGATCTCTGTAGACAAAGCTTGTCAGGGCAGGGATTGTCTCTTACTGTATGTTTGTGCAGTGACTAGCACAACAGGGCCCTAATCTTGGTTGGGGCGGCTACATGCTATTCTACTACAAGTAAAAACTAAGGATATTAGCAGTAGGACAGATTCTGCACTGACTCACTCCTAGGTGTTCACTGTGCTTATCTTCAGGTCTCTTAGAGGGCTGGGACCAGGTACCTTATCGATCACCTCTGTCTCTGCATGGCAGTGGTTCACCATGACAACTGCAATCACCAGAAACACTAGAGTTGGCTGTGCCTGGGCTGAAAGTCACAGGAGACTGGACATTCTGTGCAGCTATGGAACTCCCTTCCACCAGACATCAGATGTCACCATATCCCGAGCGAAATTTGGACTCCACCTCTTTATGCTAGCATTCAGCTCAGATGGCAAATGAAAATAAAAACGCCAAAGATTTAGATTGTAGATGATCTAAGCAAAGATTTACCCATCTGTAAAGGGCTCACAAATATGGGTTCTAAAGAAATTATTTCTGTACACATGTATGTAGAGGGTTTAATTCTCCCCCACAGACCCACATGGAAGGGGCAGGAAACTGAGCCGGTCAGAACTTCCTCCCACTCCTTGTCTTGTCTTGTCTTGTCTCTGCGGAATGAGTAGAGGAGTTAGCCCCTAAGCCCTTGTAACGTGGCAGATCTGTGGATATGAGGGAGACCTGCAGAGGGCAAAGCCATAGGCATGGAGGCCCGTGCTTCCACTCTGCATTCCAGCAATCCCCAGAGCTTCTTTGAAAACTCACAGCTGCTTCTGTCCTTGAAGCAGAGGCAGACATTGCATACAATACTGCTGACAATGTTACCATTAGCTTACGTGATGAATGAGGGGGGACGATGCTGCAAGCTATAGCCACCACACTAGCCCTGTCCCCTTCCGACCTGTGGCCCTCCTGCTCTGTGGAGCACCCACTCATGGAAACTGAGGGATGATCACACACCCATTGTGAAATTTGCCATTGCTTGTTATCTTTTCTAGAGTGTGGTTCAATAACGTCGAAACAATGGTGAAATAATCACTAATGTGGATTTTAGGAACCGTCCACTGCATCCACTGTTGCTCCTAAACATTTTGGAAAACCAGTTTCAGACACAGTTATAAAGTAGTAGGACTGGGACTGTCCTGTGGTGAATATAAGCTATATAATATGTCTATACTGTGTGTACTATACCAGTATGCGTGTACTGCTAATATTCCTGTAACTAGAGCCAGAGACACCGACTTTCTACGTTCCCGGGGGGGTGCTCGACCCCTGCTCCACCCCAGGCCCCACCCCCACTCCACCCCTTCCCCCAAACCCCCACCCGCCCCATCTCTTCCCGCCCCTGCTCTGCCCCCTCCCCCGCCGCAGTGCCGTCTGCACTCTGCTGAACAGCTGGCCACCGGTGGGTGGGAGGCACTGGGAGGGAGGGGGAGGAGCTGATCTACAGAGCTGCCAGTGGGTGCTGAGCACCCACTGTTTTTTTGCTGTGGGTGCTCCAGTCTGCACCTATGGTTAGAGCATGATCAGGGACTCATACCGAGCAATTTCACATGCTTAAAATCCATCAGCCATTCATTTAGCCCTTTTCTTCAAACCCGCATGCTTGTATTTCAGTGTATATATACAGTGCATTCCTCAACAGAAATCTAAAAATTGGGAGGCTCCTACCAGAGACTCCACAATTAACACTCGGCTATAATTTCACACTGCAAAATTTCAAGACACTGTGTGCCGAAAGCGGGTAGATCTTGCTCATATAATGGTGGCCCCTTTGCGAAATGTGACAGCGAACACCCTAATTAATCTTAGAAATGTCAGAGCCCACTGGAAGTAATTGGGCCTGACAGTTCGAGGGCTAATTAACTTCAAACCATGCATCTTATTTTTGCTTCCTCCACACTTGTAGGTCACTTCTTTGCTTTATTTTTACATGACACTTGTTCTGTTTGGAGCTGTATTTGTGCGGAGGCTGATGTAAAGGTTGAGAGCAAAGTGTATCTAAATAATTGCCAGGTTGGGTGTATTGCAGACAGTCACAGGAAGTCCCCTAGTGTATCCTGACTTGAAGGGAATACAAAACGGCAGTAAACTCTGGGCTAGCCCCCTGGGAACCGCTTAGTGCAGGAGACTGTAAGAATAAAACCTCATGAGGTCTCCTATTCCCATGTCTCAACAGTGTCTAGAAGCAGAGCCGTAACTAGGCATTTTAGTGCCTGGGACGAATAACCATATTTGTGCCCCCTCCTGGTTTTTTTAATCATTTTTCCGCCCCCGCAGCTTTGCGCAATGGGCAGCTGCCCCCTTCACCCTGCCCTGGGCTATGGCCCTGTCTAGAGGCATAACAGTTATCACTTTCAATCCCCGGCAGAGTGGTGGGTGAAGCCATTATCATGCTTCAACATTGTCCAGCAGCCATAATGAAGTGGTTGCACAGCGCAGTTTTATTAGGCCCGATCCCACTCCAGGTTAGCCGGAGACTGCAACATGAGCAGGATGAGGTTTGCTGTGAGCCTCTGCCAAGCCAAGAAGGTGAGGATTTTGTGCTGCATAGAGCTAACGAAGAATCCTAGGCTCCTCTCCTTCACTCCACCACCTTTTACTTTAATCTCCTCTTCTTTCCCTGTTTGTAACTATTTTTGTAGGTATTGAATATGCATGAAAAGCATTCAGTTGGTTTCAACTCTTGCAGTTTTTCTCACACGTCAGTCCAGGCGCACAAATTCCTTCTTTCCAACATAGACAGTGGGTTTTGAATAACAGAATTTTGAAAGGTACGGTACACTCCTGCGGCTTAGTTCACCCCCACTGGTGCAGGGATGAATATATGTGCAACTTGCACTCCCCTGCATCAGCAGGGACCACTGCACCAAAGGGCGAATTCACCCCAAGGGAGGGTAGCATTAAACTGTGACCAGGATGGCCTAGGAGTCCTACCCTTGGAGGCTGCCTGGGTAGTGTCTTGAATTGGCTCAGCTCCCTGACTCCCCAGCCATCTCACCCACCCTCCGCAGTGACTCCTTTTGAAGTGTCTTCAGGTTCCTCAACAGAGTAGGGATTGTGAGTGCTCTGTGCTGGTCCATACCCCCTTCCAAGCAGACTTTAGTTTTAAATGTCTCAAGTGGTGGGGCTCCCATCACTTCCTTCGCAGACTGTTCCATAGCCTAATACTGTAATTCTCACTCCTAGAAGGTTTCTCCTTTTATTTAGACTACTGTTTCTTCTTGCTTAATTTCATTCCATTACTACATATTATTCTGACTTGTACCAATTCTTCACCCTACTTGGCTCCTGATCTGTCCTTACCTTGGTAAAACTCCATTGACTTCTTCAAAGGGTATTGCCTGGGGAATGATCACAGAATAGGTCCCTTGGCTCTTACATCATTCAATGTTTATGGAAAGGCATAGAATGGGATAGAGAGGGAAAGTAAGGGAAAAGGGCAGCTAGTAAGGGCTTGTCTAAGTCAAGAAATTGCCTAAAGTAGCTATTTTGGAATACCTCCCCATAAGGACACTCTTATTCTGAAATAGCTATTCTAGTCAATTTCCCCATGTAAAAAAAACATAAATAAATAGAGTTGGAAGGAAATCCCAAATTAGACTGTAAGGTCTTTAGAGCTGGAACTGTTTCTGTCTGTACAGCACCTAGCACTGTAGAGCCCTGAGTCTGATTTGGGTTTCTGGGTGCTACAGTAATACAAACACTAACAAGGAGCCTCTCCTTCTTAGCATCACAAGAACTGGGGTCCAATCTGGTGATAAGGCTATCTGTGGGAGTCAGGTCTGTCTATGCGGAGGCAAGGCACTTGAGATATGAACTGTGTAGTACCCGAGTAGGAGGATACACTGCAGAGAAGGGAAATTAGGAAAAGTGTGAGAACACTATACCTGATTGTCATGGGGTTCATTGATCTTAATTTCTTTTCAGCTAGCACTCTTCTTCAGCTGCCACTTCACACTGCTCCAGCCAATATCTAATTATCCATCATATGCCTGGCACAGGAGTATCTAAGTGCCTAGTGAGTGTGGTACCTCGTTAGCATTCACTGAAACCTGTTGTAAAGGGATAGTACTGAAAAGAAAAGACTCAGTTCATTAATGAAGTTGCTTAGCCCTGGTCTACACTACGAGTTTAGGTCGAATTTAGCAGCGTTAGATCGATTTAACCCTATACCCGTTCATACAACGAAGCCATTTTTGTCGACTTAATGGGCTCTTAAAATCGATTTCTGCACTCCACCCCGACGAGGGGATTAGTGCTGAAATCGACATTGCCGGGTCGAATCTGGGTTAGTGTGGATGCAATTCGACAGTATTGGCCTCCGGGAGCAGGCCCACAGTGCTCCATTGTGACCGCTCTGGACAGCACTCTCAACTCGGATGCAGTGGCCAGGTACACAGGAAAAGCCCAGCAAACTTTTGAATTTCATTTCCTGTTTGGCCACCGTGGCGTGACCACACAGACAGAGCTCATCAGCAGAGATAACCATGGAGTCCCAGAATCGCAAAAAAGCTCCAGCGTGGACTGAATGGGAGGTACTGGATCTGTTCGCTGTATGGGGAGATGAATCCATGCTATCAGAACTCTGTTCCAAAAGATGAAATGCCAAAATATTTGAAAAAATCTCCAAGGGCATGAAGGACAAAGGCTATCACAGGGACCCGCAGCAGTGCCGCGTGGAACTTAAGGAGCTCAGGCAAGCCTACCAAAAAATCCAAGAGGCAAACGCTCGCTTGGGGTCAGAACCCCAGACATGTCGATTCTATGATGAGCTGCATGCCATTCCAGGGGGTGCCCCTACAACTACCCCACACCTGTATGTACACTCCTGCAAGGGAGTCTCACGCAACAGGGATGAGGATTTTGGGGATGAGGAAGATGATGAGGAGGGGGAGGTTGAAGATAGCGCACACCAGGCAAGCAGAGAAACCATTCTCCCCGACAGCCAGGAACTGTTTATCACCCTGGAGCCAATACCCTCCCAACCTGGGCTCCCGAACCTTGAAGCCAGAGAAGGCACCTCTGGTGAGGATACCTTTGTAAATATAATATGCGGTTTAAAAGCAAGCGTGTTTAATGTTTAATTTTCCCTGAAGACTTGGGATGCATTTGCGGCCAGCACAGCTACTGGAAAAGTCTGTTAACGTGTCTGGGGATGGGGCAGAAATCCTGCAGGGATATCTCAATGAAGCTGTCCTGGAGGTACTCCCAAAGCCTTTGCAAAAGGTTTCTGGGGAGGGAAGCCTTATTGCATCCTCCATGGTAGGACACTTTAGCATGGCAGGTCAGTCGCACGTAGTCTGGAATCATTGCATATGAAAGCATGGCAGCGTGTGGTCCCAGTGTTTGCTGGCATTCAAGCAACATCCGTTCTTTATCTTTCTGTGTTATCTTCAGGAGAGTGATATCATTCATGGTCACCTGGTTGAAATAGGGGAATTTTCTTAAGGGGACATCAGAGGTGGCCGTTCCTGCTGGGCTATTTGCCTGTGGCTGAAAAGAAATCGTCCCCGCTGTTAGCCATGCAGTGGAGGGGAAGGGTGAAGCGATCATCCCAGAGAATTGGGTGTGGGAGGGGTTTAGTTGGGTTTGTGCTGCACGTTAACTCGAAAACATCAGCCCCTCCTTTTAAATGGCCAATGTGTCTTTTTCAATTTTAATCTCCCTTTTTTTCCTCCCGCAGCTGCAAATGTTTCAACGCTGCGACTAGCATCTCCGTCCTAGAGGCTAGCGCAGATAAGAAGGCGAAAAAAAACTCACGAGCGATGAAATGTTCTCTGAGCTCATGCTGTCCACCCAAACTGAAAGAGCACAGCAGAATGCGTGGAGGCAGACAATGGCAGAGTCCAGGAAAGCACAAAATGAACATGAGGACAGGAGGGACGTGCGAGAGGATAGATGGCTGGAGCAACACGAGAGGTGGCGGGATCAAGAGGAAAGGTGGTGGCAGCATGATGAAAGGAGGCAGGATGCAATGCTGAAGCTACTGGAGGATCAAACTGATATGCTCCAGCGTACGGTTGAGGTACAGAAAAGGCACAGACCGCAATTGCAGCCCCTGTGTAACCAACCACCCTCCTCCCCAAGGTCCATAGCATCCTTACCCAGATGCCCAAGAACGCGGTGGGGAGGGGGCCTCCGGCCACCCAGCCACTCTACCCCAGAGGACTGCCCAAGCAACAGAAGGCTGGTATTCAATAAGTTTTGAGGTGCTGTGTGGCCTTGTCCTTCCCTCCTCCCCTCATCCACCACCCCACCCGGTGCTTCCCTCCTCCCCCACCCCTTCTGGGATACCTTGGCAGTTATCCCCCTATTTGTGTGACAAATTAATAAAGAATGCATGAATTTGAAACAACAATGACTTTATTGCCTCTGCAAGCGGTGATCGAAGGGGGGAGGAGAGGGAGGCTGGCTTACAGGGAAGTAGAGTGAACCAAGGGGGCAGGTTTTCATCAAGGAGAAACGAACAGAACTGTCACACCGTAGCCTGGTCAGCCATGAAACTGGTTTTCAAAGCTTCTCTGATGCACAGCGCGCCCTGCTGTGCTCTTCTAACCGCCCTGGTGTCTGGCTGCGCATAATCAGCGGCCAGGCAATTTGCCTCAACTTCCCACCCCACCATAAACATCTCCCCCTTGCTCTCTCAGATATTGTGAGGCACACAGCAAGCAGTACTAACAATGGGAATATTGGTTTCGCTGAGGTCTAACAGAGTCAGTAAACTGCGCCAGTGTGCGTTTAAACGTCTAAATGCACCTTCTGCCACCATTCTGCACTTGCTCAGCCTGTAGTTGAACAGCTCCTGACTACTGTCCAGGGTGTCTGTGTACGGCTTCATGAGCCAGGGCATTAAGGGGTAGGCTGGGTCCCCAAGGATAACTGTAGGCATTTCAAGATAACTGTAGGCATTTCAACATCCCCAACTGTTATTTTCTGGTCTTGGAAGTAAGTCCCTTGCTTCAGCTGTTCATACAGACCAGAGTTCCTGAAGATGCGAGCGTCATGTACCTTTCCCAGCCATCCCACGTTGATGTTGGTGAAACGTCCCTTGTGATCCACCAGTGCTTTCAGCACCATTGAAAAGTACCCCTTGCGGTTTATGTACTGGCTGCCTTGGTGAACCGGTCCCAAGACAGGGATATGGGTTCTGTCTATCGCCCCACCACAGTTAGGGAATCCCATTGCAGCAAAGCCATCCACTATGACCTGCACATTTCCCAGAGTCACTACCCGTGATAGCAGCAGCTCACTACTTGGATCACAGCAGCCCCCACAGTAGATTTGCCCACTCCAAATTGATTCCAGACTGACCAGTAGCTGTCTGGCGTTGCAAGCTTCCAGAGGGCTACCACCACTCACTTGTGAACTGTGAGGGCTGCTCTCATCTTGGTATTCTTGCACTTCAGGGCAGGGGAAAGCAAGTCACAAAGTTCCATGAAAGTGCCCTTACGCATGTGAAAGTTTCCCAGCCACTGGGAATCATCCCAGACCTGCAACACTATGCGGTCCCACCAGTCTGTGCTTGTTTCCCGGGCCCAGAATCGGTGTTCCACAGCATGAGCCTGCCCCATTGCCATCAGGATGGCCAGATTGCAGGGGCCCGTGCTTTGAGAGAAGTCTGTGTCCATGTCCTCATTGCTCTCATCACCGTGCTGCCATCGCCTCCTTGCCTGCTTTTGCAGGTTCTGGTTCTGCCCATACTGCAGGACAATGCTTGAGGTGTTTACAATGCTCATAACTGCCGCGATGATCTGAGCGGGCTCCATGCTTGCAGTCCTATGGCGTCTGCACGGGCAATCCAGGGAAAAGGGCGTGAAATGATTGTCTGCCGTTGCTTTCACCAAGGGAGGGGAGACTGACGACAAGGGCAAATGCGAGGTGTTTATGTACAATGCTCACAACTCCAGCGGTGACCTGAGCAGACTCCTGCTTTCAGAGCTATGGCACATGCATGAGCAATCCAGGAAAAAGGGTGCGACAGGATTGTCTGCCATTGCTTTCATGGCTGGGGGGGGATAGGGGGTGACTGACCACACGTACCCCAAACCACCTGAGGCTACCTTTTCCATTATCTCATTTATTTTTAAGTAATAAAGAAAGAATGCATGGTTTCAAAACAATAGTTGCTTTATTTCGAAGGGGGAAGGGTGGTTGGCTTACAGGGAGTTAAATTCAACAAAGGGGGCGGGTTTGCAGCCATGAGAAACTAGTTTTCAAAGTCTCTGTGATGCACCACGCACCTTGCCCATCCCGCCATACACGTCTTCCCCTTACCCAGGCATCACGTAGCACACAGCAAGCCGCAATAAACAATGCAAATGCTAGTTGCGCTGAGGTTTGATCAACAGCAGCAGCGAGCTTGTTAATGTCCAAAGGCACATCGCACCACCATTGCTCCTTACTCCTGTCCAGGGGTCATGAGCTGTGGGAGCAAGGGCTAGGCGGGGGTGGGTGCGGCCGTGCGGTGCTGCTGCCTGTGACAGCAGCCAGGTTGCTGGAGATCAGGATGGCAGAGTTGCAGCGGAAGTGGCGGAGCGAGCAAAGCAACACTGCATTGCCGCTCCGAGGACAGTTAAAAGTCATATGCAGGACGACGGCTTTCAGGCCTATTGCACGATCGGCTGCTGGATTGCAGGAGCTCGGGATGGCAGAGTTGCGGCGGAAGCGGCGGAGCGAGCAAAACACCATTGCTGTTCCAGATGGCTACAAGTCCTACTGATGAGGACGGCTGCAAGACTTCTTCTCCGGCGACAAAGGAGATGAATATGATGCGCCTAAAATCTAACCAGTCCCTTACATGTCCCAGAGTCACTACCCTTTAGACTTGCCTGCAACAGCAGTGGTGACGGAGAGCTGAGCGGGCTCCTGCTTGCAGTGCTATGGCGTCTGCGCTGTTAACCCAGGAAACAAGCCGTGAAACGATTGGCTGCTGTTACTTTCACAGAGGGAGGGAAGGAACGAGGGTTGACTGATGACAGTTACCCAAAACCACCCGCAACAAATTTTTGGCCCCATCAGGCATTGGGAGCTCAACCCAGAATTCCAATGGGCAGCGGGAACTGTGGGATAGCTTCCCACAGTGCACCACTCGGAATGTCAACGCTAGCCATGGTACTGTGGACGCGCTCCACCGACTTAACGTGCTTAGTTGGGACGCACGCATTCAACTTTATACAATCTGTTCCCAAAAATCGACTTCTATAAAATCAGCCTAATTTCATAGTGTAGACATACCTTTAGAGGAAAAGAACTGCTATATGTAACATCTCCTTTCATAGCTGTTGGATTAGGAGTTCAGTGTAGTCAAGAAAATGTACAAATATTTGCAAGATACTATATGTAAGGTTTTGTTGCTGTTGTTTCAGGTTTTAAAATAATAAGCACATTTTCTGTTATTTGAACTGTTGTAACTAATCAGAAGTTACATGGGTTACTGTGACTTATTTGTACCTAAATAAAGAGGCCCAATTCTGATGGACAAAGAGGCTTCTGAGAAGTTTGTGGGCTGTTGCAATGAAGTGGCAAATACTGTAAAATGGAAATGACGGCATGAATCCCTTTCATACATGCATTGTAATATTTCCTCTGCAATCATGTCTTTCTCCTTCTTACCATTTGAGGGAGATAATTTTGTTGAATTTCACTTTTTCTTGGGCAGTTGTTACATTTTTAAATCCTGTGTGAAATGATGTTGTGATGGCAAAAGTTTGACATGATTCACTGCAAAACAAGGTTTTTGTGAATGAAACTACAGATGAAAGAAAGCCAAGACACGGATTCATCAGACACCAGAATCCAACTGCAGAAATTATCAGTCTTTTGCTTTCACTAGGAGGATTCTGTAAGTTCTAGGAAATCGCCTTCACAAGCATCTCCTCATCCGCATTAGAAATGAACCATATGGCAACATGGCAGGAGCTGTCAAGTCACTGTTGGGGAGGCAGGGGGAGACTTTGAATAATGGAGCAATGAGTGGGCTATATGTGTTCAAATTACTAAAGCTCCCACTAAACTAATACAAGCCTCATTTTTAATGTCGTTCTTAATTTACCTTATCCTGGCTCTGGCTACGGCTACTTTGTGTTGCTCTCGTGACGCACATGGCCATGATTCTAGTTTAACCAGCTGGCGGAAGGTTCCTCTAGAGTGAGGAATCCCCAAGTGGTATATTATTGATTGATTGATTGCTTTTATTTGTATTACAGTAATATCTACAGACCCCAATCAGAGACCAGCACCTCTGTGCTAGGTGCTGCACAAACCAAAAAGACGCCCCATACCTCATGGAGTTTACAATCTAAGTAAGCTGCTGTAATGGTTCTTCTGCCATTCCTTACCCAGCATAACGATAGTGCCTGGGAGGAAAAGGCCTCTCTGTAGGCCGGTGTGCGTAAGTTAGAGCAGCCTCCTATGTAAGGGACCAGTCCAGTCTCGAGCCAGCCCCAGGATCAGAAAGCCACTTTGCCTCTACCTGTGAGCAGCAAAAGATCACGGCCTTTATCTTTAGCAGGTTTATTTTTTCAAAGAAAAAAGACCCCCTCAGTGAGTGAGCGCTATTGCTCTGTAAAAATGTTTGCACTGGGGCAGGAGATTCTAGAAGTGTAAATATTAAAGTTTGTCCTACTTGGGATGTCTATGAAGACCAAAAGGAGAGTTAACAGAGATTCTAAAATCCATTTATGTTCTGCCAGATGAGATAAGGGCACCTGAATGTATGCGAACCTTTCAGATGATTTTCATTCTGAGCCAGTCTGAAGTACCATGCACACAAAGCAGCATTGCTTGTTTGGGTTCAGGGCAATTCTTTTTATTCTGGAGGTAGCATCTCCCCCACCCGCAATCTAAGCATTGTTGACTTATTTGAATGAATTATGTGACTGTTTGGAGCAGCGACTGCATGTGCAAAGTCTGGCACAGCAGGGTGTCCATCTGGATACAGATAATAGGGCTTCCAGCTTACTCTCTGCAAACAGGGTGAACCTATGGCATTTTCACACTAGAGAATTGTATGTGCTCTGGAAATAATGAGGGAAACTAACTACTGGTTGGTGGTCAATTTGCCCTGATATTGTGAATGTTGTGCCTGCACAGATCTACATTAGAACATAAGAACGGCCACACTGGGTCAGACCAAAGGTCCATCCAGCCCCGTATCCTGTCTACCAATGGCCAATGCCAGATGCCCCAGAGGGAGTGAACCTAACAGGTAATGATCAAGTGATCTCTCTCCTGCCATCCATCTCCACCCTCTGACAGCCAGAGGCTAGGGACACCATTCCTTACCCATCCTGGCTA